GTAAAGCGTCGGAAGTTTGACGACAAGCCGACAAAACTCCGAAGTTCCTTTAGGGTTCCTTGGCTTCGGAAAATCGGCGACTCCTCGAAGCTTGGCGGGGTCGGGAAGTATGCCGTCCCGCGATACGACGTGGCCAAGAATGGCGAGCTGCCGGGCACTAAAACGACACCTTATGAGGTTGAGTTAAAGGCCGGCGTCAGTGAGGCGTATGAGGAATACTACGTCATTCAATACTACGTCACATAAACATGTATTCCACTTGAGGCCTCATGAAATTGTGTCCATCGTCCTTTTAAAAGTGGCTGGAGCATTACAAAGGTCATAACGGTAAATTCGTATAATCCATCGAGTGTGACAAATGCTGTTTTCGGTCAGTCAGATGATTCCACAGGAACTTGCCAGTATCCAGAACGTAAATCCAGCGAAGAGAAGTATTCTGCTCCCTGCAAACAGTCAAGGGCGTCGTCTATTCGCGGTAACGGGTAAACGTCCTTACGGATGATCTTGTTTAAGCGTCTGTAGTCCACACAGAACCGAATGGAGCCCGCCTCCTTTTAACAAGAACGGCAGGTGACGCCCATGGACTGTTATAAGGCTGTACAATCTCCCGCTGGAGCATGTCAGCAACCTGATCGTCAATAACACGGCGCTTCTGTTGTGCTTCTGTATTCAGAGCATTGTCATTGGTGCTTACAAGGTTGATACCGAGTTCGGTATTTATGACTTACCGATGAATGGCTGGCTCACGGTAGCCCGAGAACGAGTAACTCGAAAATCATCCGAAATCACAAAAATATTGAATAGCGAGCTAAAAATGGGATTACCATCGAGGTATTTTGTTGCTCTTTATGATGGAGTCACACCACAATGCGGCGGAAAAGGCAGATTCACTCTACCCGTAAAAAAAAAAAAAAATCGGCAGATCCCAAGCATCTTGGGAATCAATAATATGTTAAGCATGCGGATAGAAAGGGAATGTTTTTTCGTTATTATTATTGAGCGAGACGTTATCACGCGGCGCTAAATATGTGTACAAATGCACGTGCACATCCACATACGTTAGGCCACGTATGTTTTACATTAGCAGTTGTCGACAGCTGCGTAACAATGCCTGCATCAACATGGATATTAGCAACACCAGACGCGGTAAGCTGATATGAAGCGCTGGTGTTTACGTTGTGCACGCGCGCGAGAACGGCAGCCATCAACACTGCTACACAAATCAACTTCAGCGAATGACGCCAAACTACTATTTACGTTATCCCTACATAACGGCTGTATCGTAGGAGTACATGTGTAATGTTTATAAAATCGGATAGCCAGTATTGCAACCACAATTGACGTTAAAAGAACATTAGGGTCTATTTGAAAAGGATATCCGAGGCCCAGCGTAACTCTGTGGTTTAAATACTCCATAGTCACGACGAATGCTAGGGTTGGATTCATGCTGAGACACTGGCATTTATGGTATGCATTCGTTCGGTCAACGCTGTATACCTATGGCAGCTTTTTCTCAACGCTCCGATGTGTGTTCTCGCCGTTCAAATGTATATTACCTGGGGGACATGCGCGCACACCAGTGGCACATACCCGCCCCCGGTTATGTGCTACTGTTTCTTGAAAAGTGTTTGACGACGTACGCGACATCAGTGTGGCATTATTCATGTCATGACCAGCGAGTCATATTCAACAAACCATCTTACTCTCCCATACTAATTTTGGAGTATCCAACGTTAAGGGAATGATCATGAGAGCACCCAGGCGTAGGCAGCTAGCTAGCTAGCTAGCTAGCTATATAGATAAATAGATAGATAGATAGATAGATAGATAGATAGATAGATAGAAAGACCTAGAGACATACATACATACATACATACATACGTACGTACGTGCATACATACATACATACATACATACATACATACATACATACATACATACATACATACATACATACATACATACATACATACATACATACATACATACATACATACATACATACATACATACATACAGACAGACAGACAGACAGACAGACAGACAGACAGACAGACAGACAGACAGATAGATAGATAGATAGATAGATAGATAGATAGATAGATGGATAGATAGATAGATAGATAGATATATAGATAGATAGATAGATAGATAGATAGCGCCAAATGTGCATGCAGTACTCAAAACAAATGCTTCCCATATCTGAGCTTAACTACGCGTGTTGTCTGAACCTTGCGTGTGTTATACTAGCCAACTCACGGTATTCCTACGTGAACGTGAAACACGTTAATCGCTTTACTTGCTCTGGCCGACTATTACTCTCAATTTAGTTCAACGAAAACGTTCCACTGTTTTCGCAAATTGATGTTATATCTTACCATTCAGGAGGACTTGAAGTCGCTTGATCGCGACGTGGCCTTTTTTCGTCAGGTACCCCTGGAAGAGATAGAGAAGGTGTTCTCAACAGTAACCGCGCAGGTGGGGCTATAACAGTAGCACCCCAAGATTACAAGAGCATCAACTGAGACGAACGCTGATATAGCTCACGCTTTATAGTACTTGATTGATTGATATGTGGGGTTTAACGTCCCAAAATTACCATATGATCATGAGAGACGCCGTAGTGGAGGGCTCCGGAAATTTCGACCACCTGGGGTTCTTTTAACGTGCACCCAAATCTGAGCACACGGCATACAACATTTCTGCTTCCATAGGAAATGCAGCCGCAGCAGCCGGGATTCAATCCCCGTGACCTTCGGGTTAGCAGTCGAGTACCTTAGCCACTAGACCACCGCGGCGGGGCAATCATCAGATATGTGTGAGCGAGAAAGGGCGTCGGCGTCTGTGTGCTTACGACCGGATCTGTAAATAACGCGGATGTCGTACTCCTGACGTTTCAGCGCCCAGCAAGCAAGTCGTCCGGAAGGATCCTTAAATGTGGATAGCCAATAAGGGGCGTGGTGGTCAGTGACGACGTCGAATGCGTGACCATACAGGTAGGGGCAAAATTTTCCAAGGGCCTAAATAATAGCTCGACACTCTTACTCGGTCACGGAGTAGTTAGCCTGGGCTTTCGTCAGAGTTCAGCTTGCGTAGCCGACGACATATTTATCGAACCCTGCCTTTCGTTGCGTGAGCACAGCGCCAAGTCCGACACTGCTGGCATCAGTATGAACATCCGTGGGAGCGGCAGAATCGTAGTGGCGGAGGATGGGTGGTGACGTTAGCAGGCGACGTAATTTGGTGAATGCATCGTCGCACGCTGGTGACCAGGTGGAAAGGTCCTCGTCGACGCTAAGAAAGTCCGTAAGGGGCGCAAAGATTGGATGGATTGGATTGGATAAACTTTTATTTGGTCCTCCAAAACACAGACCACTGTGTTGCGGGCAGCTCCCACGTGGGGACTGAGATGCCAAGCTCCTCAGCCGCCTCGCGGGCTTGGTGGACCAGCCCAGAGCTGAGCTGCCAAGGACGAGCTCGGATTGCCGCCTCCCATCTGGCAGAGGTGATGTTCGATAAATGAGCGATTTAGTGCACTGCCAGAGCATGTGTTCTATGAAGCTGTGTTCCCCACAAGTGGGCAAAGATTACTTGGTATAGGTCAGGGTAAATGATGTGTAACATTTTCAAAGGAACATCCGCGTTTGCAAAACCTTAATGAAGTGCTTGGGCGGGTTAGATTTTGTGAGGTGGGGGGAAAATCCTTCAGACAGGTAGAAATGCTTAGTGAGCTCGTTATATGTTGTAAGAATTTCCCGGTTATCCCCTTCACACGGTAGAAACGCATCCCCGGGGAGGCCGCAGGTTGGAGAGTTCTCGCGCGCCCTCGTGTGCTGCTTCGTTGAGATTGGAGAGGGGAATCGTTGACTTGCCCAGGTGAGCTGGGAACCAACTCAGAAGATGATTGCGTTACTGTTCTTGCTTGCAGTATTCTCAGCGTTTGTTCAGAGGACCGTCCCCTTGGCGAACGCCCGTAGTGCTGCCTTGGAATCACTGTAGACGACTCAATGGTTATCCATCTTGCGTGCTACGGCGATGGCCACCTGTTCCGCAATGATATGAGTCTTTCGTCCTGACCGTCACTGAGTTGACGACATGCCCAGCCATCGACCACCACTGCCACAAACGCTTTCCAATTGGCGTAGGAAGCCGCGTCAACGAATACGACCCCTCGTTCCTCGTTTGAGACTTGACGAAGTATGGGGCGCACAGATGAAAGCAAAATTTCGAGTGAAGCATCGGAAGTATGACAACCAGTCGACAAAACTTCGAAGTTCCTTTAGGGTCATTAGCTTCGGAAAATCAGTGATTGCTCGAAGCCTGGCGGGGTCGGGAAGTATGCCGTCCCGCGATACAACGTGGCCAAGAATGGAAAACTGTTGGACACCAAAACGACACTTCTTGAGGTTGAGTTGAAGGCCGGCGTCGGTGAGGCGTGTGAGGACGTGCTCGAGACGATTCAAATGGGTGTCGAAATCGGTGGAAAAGACAACTACGTCATCGAGGTAGCATAAACATGTGTTCCACTTGAGGCCTCGTGAAATAGTGTCCATCATTCTTTCAAAAGTGGCTGGAGCATTACAAAGGCCGAAAGGCATAACAGTAAATTCGTATAACCCATCGACTGTGACAAATGCTGTTTTCGGTCAGTCAGATGCTTTCATAGGAACTTGCCAGTATCCAGAACGTAAATCCAGCGAAGAGAAGTATTCTGCTTCCTGCAAACACTCAAGGGCGTCGTCTATTCGCGGTAACGGGTAAACGTCCTTACGGGTGATCTTGCTTAAGCGTCTGTAGTTCACACAGAACCGAATGGAGCCAGTCTTCTTTTTAACAAGAACGGCAGGTGACGCCCATAGCCATAAGGCTGTACAATCTCCCGCTGGAGCATGTCAGCAACCTGATCGTCAATAACACGGCGCTTCTGTCGTGCTTCTGTACTCAGAGCATTGTCATTGGTGCTTACAAGGTTGATACCGAGTTCGGTATTTATGGCTTACCGATGAATGGCTGGCTCACGGTAGCCTGAGAACGAGTAACTCGAAAATCATCCGAAATGACAAAAATATTGAAGAGCGAGCTAAAAATGGGATGACCATCGAGGTATTTTGTTGCTCTTTATGATGGAGTCGCAGCACAATGCGGCGGGAATAGGCAGATTGAAAAATGTTCACGCTACCTGTAAAAAAAAAAGAAAGTTCGGCAGATCCCAAGCATCTTGGGAATCAATATAATGTGAAGCATGCGGATAGGAAGGGAATGTTTTTTCGTTATTATTATTGAGCGAGACGTTATCACGCGGCGCTAAATATGTGTACAAATGCACGCACACATCCACATACGTTAAGCCACGTATGTTTTACATTAGCAGTTGTCGACAGCTGCGTAACAATGCCTGCATCAACATGGATATTAGCAACACCAGACGCGGTAAGCTGATATGAAGCCTGGTGTTTACGTTGTGCACGCGCGTGAGAACGGCAGCCGTCAACACTGCTACACAAATCAACTTCAGCGAATGACGCCAAACTACTATTTACGTTATCCCTACATAACGGCTGTATCGTAGGAGTACATGTGTAATGTTTATAAAATCGGATAACCAGTATTGCAACCACAATTGACGTTAGACGAACATTAGGGTCTATTTGAAAAGGATATCCGAGGCCCAGCGTAACTCTGTGGTTTGAATACTCCATTATCACGCAGAATGCTAGGGTTGGATTCATGCTGAGACACTGGCATTTATGGTTTGCATTCGTTCGGTCAACGCTGCATACCTATGGCAGCTTTTTCTCAACGCTCCGATGTGTGTTCTCGCCATTCAAATGTCTATTACCTGGGGGACATGCGCGCATACCAGTGGCACATACCCGCCCCCAGTTATGTGCTACTGTCTTTTGAAAAGTGTTTGACGACGTACGCGACAACAGTGTGGCATTATTCATGTCATGACCAGCGAGTCATATTCAACAAACCATCTTACTCTCCCATACTAATTTTGGAGTATCCAAAGTTAAGGGAATGATCATGAGAGCACCCAGGCGTAGGCAGCTAGCTAGCTAGCTAGCTAGCTGCCTACGCCTGGGGTGCTCTCATGATCATTCCCTTAACTTTGCTCATTGCTAGCTTTGCTTGCTTGCTAGCTAGCTAGCTAGCTAGCTAGCTAGCTAGCTAGATAGATAGATAGATAGACAGACAGACAGACAGACAGACAGACAGACAGACAGACCTAGAGACATACATACATACATACATACATACTGTTATGCCAGCGAGTCCTCGTCAAACGACCGTGCCTCGGAAAAAGGCAATCTGGGTCAAGGCCAACCCGCAGTCCGCCTGGCGCGATCAACTCGACGGCGCGAACACGCGCGGCGCCCCTCTGGCCCACGTGCAGTGAGTCAGCTGCGCACGTGACAGCGAGCCGGCGTCCTCGTGTCTGGTGGTCTGACGCATGGCGCGGCAACCCCATTGGAGGAATCTGCCCTGACGACCAGCGGCGCTTCTGATTGGACATTTTGGTTGGACCCGGTGTAAATAAAAGAAGCCCTGCGGCGCGTCGCGATCGGAGGTCCTATCAGAGAGGAGTCCCCATGTCGGAGAGACGACATGTGTGTGAGTCAGCGGTCTTAGGGCGAAAGGCTGACCTATGTGTTAGAGAGGAGAGCTCGGCTCTTCGAGTCTCTGTCGGCCCCAGTGCCGAATTGTAACGCCTCTGTATATATGCTGTACATAAACCTTATTTAACTCACCGTCGTCTCGCCCGCTCGTCTTATCAGCTCTGCGCAGAAGCAGTCGCGAGCTGAGAAACATACGCTACCAAACGGCTGGTGACCTTCCCGGCGGAGTTGAAAGCAGTGGCGCCCTGGGGACCGTGTTGGCATCGCCGTCTTTCGCAACAGTGGTGGCTTCGGTGGGATCGGTCCGTCGTACGCAACAGTGGTTGGCAGCTGCGGGATCGGCCGGCGTCAGCGACATCGATGCGGTGAGTGCCTGAGTTTTCCCTCAGTTCACCAGACTACTCTAGCTCAGGTTGTAGTAGTTTAGAGAAGGGCTGGTGAAGCATTGAAGGGAGCTTTGATCGTTTCAAGCCAAGTCGAAGCGCTTTGAAACCAAAGTTAATGCGGAGGGGGTAAACACGGGAGTGTGAAAAATGCTTGCGCGTCTTGCTAGTAGGCTTATAGTGGGTACGGCAAGTAGATTCTTAACAGGGGCAAACAGCAAGAGGCTAGTGGTGAACGATGGAGAACCTTAAAGTGAGGGAACTCATCGAAATTTGTGAGGAACTCGGCATTACTTTGGGCCGTGCGAAACGGAAAGCAAGCGATCCTTGAAGATCATGAAGGATGAGGGAGTGTCGGCTGAGGAAGTCGATGAGGCCTGGGTGGATATCAAAGCACGCCGCGAGGAGGCTGAAAAGCGAGAAGCTCGCGAAACGTGAGAAGCTGAAAGGCGAGAAGCTCGCGAACGTGAAGAAAGGCGAGAAGCTCGCGAACGTGAAGAAGCTGAAAGGCGAGAAGCTCGCGAACGTGAAGAAAGGCGAGAAGCTCGCGAAGAAGCTGAAAGGCGCGAACGTCGCGAGGAGGCCGAGAGACAGGAGCGCCTCGAGATGAAACGAATAGAATTGGCAATCCTACAGTGTTCGCAGGCGCCTAGCGCAGCTTCTCCGACGATTCAGGTCAGCGGTATTAGAATTCGGGATCAACTGCCACCGTTCGTAGTAGGCGAGGACATGGCGAAGTATCTCGTCAAGTTTGAACACGTCTGTGAGCGAAATGCTTTGGAGCAGTCTCTTTGGGCGCGGAACCTGCTAGCTCTTCTTCCCGGCGAAGTGTCCGACGCGATAACTTGCTTGTCGAGGGAAGCGTTTGAGAGCTATGACGAGGTTAAGGAAGTGCTCTTGAGACGTTATAAGTTGTCACCCGAGGCTTTCAGGCAAAGGTTCCGGTATGCTGAAAAGGGGAATGAGTCACACGTTGACTTCGCGTTTCGTCTTAAAGCCGATTTGATTGAATGGCTCAAGGGCGAAGGTGTTTATGACGACCGCGATAAAGTGGTGGAATGCGTTGCATTGGAGCAATTCTACCGCTGCATCGAGGAGGATGTCAAAACTTTGGCTGCAGGACAAACTTGGTGAAGTACAGCTAAACAAGGCAGCCGAGTTAGCTGAGGAGTATTATACTCGCCGAAAGTTGCATAGCAGGGCAGTGCGCGTTGAAAAGGATGAAAGAAAAGAGGGCTTTTCAAAGAAACCTGATCAACGGAGACCCGATCCGCACCGTAATTTCAAGAAGGACCCGTCTCTTACGAAGGACAGTGTAGGGGAAGGGCAAACAGAAGCGGAGAAATCGAGTGAGGTTTCTACCACACAGGCATTTGAATCGGAAAACAAACGGAAGCCGCTAATCTGCTACAACTGCAAAAAGGAAGGACACATCGCGAGAAACTGTCAGGAAAAGTTTGCCTTCGCAACAATCCGAGAATCAGAAAAAAACATGCGGTTGTTGGAGCCGTATCTCCAAGAAATTAGGGTGAATGAGAAAACGTGCCGAGCACTTAGAGACTCAGCGGCAACCATGGACGTTGTCCATCCTTCATTGGTGTCTCCGGATGACTTCACAGGAGAATGCGCGTGGATCAGGCAAGTCGCCGAGGAGCAGAGTGTGCGCTTACCAATCGCCACGGTTGTCATTGAAGGCCCGTTCGGTGAGCTTCGCACCGAAGCGGCTGTGTCTGCCGCGCTAAATGATCGTTTTCCTTATCTTTTCTCCAACAACTCGGAGCAGCTTCTCAAAGAGCAGGGCAAATCGTTCTTCCCCAACTTAGCGTGCATGGCTCTCACGCGATCGCAGGCGCGGAAGCTATCGCGGCAGCTTGACCTGGTTCCATGCGGTGAACTCTCAAGTGACCTTGTCGGCGGGTCGACGGAACCCCAGAAAGGAAAGTTTCCGCATGAGTCATGTGAGCAGTCACGCGAGCGGCCCGTCGCCGACCCGACCGGCGCGGTTTCCGGAGAAAGGGGAGACGACATGGCGCCATTGAGTCAGAGCGAGAGGGCTGCAACGCTCTCGCCTGTAGCGGAAAGTTGGAGCGAGCTGCCGAGAGTTGATCGAGAGACGCTCATTCGAGAGCAGCGTGAGGATCTCTCGATTGAAGCGCTAGTGGAAAGCCAGGTTGAAACGCTAGTGGAAAGCCAAATTGAAGCGCTAGTGGAAAGCCAGAAAAACGCGGCAAAAGTGCTGTCGAAGGAGCACTACGAGGAATCGGTGAAGAAGCGTGCTTTTGAAGTAGGGAGTCAGGTAATGCTGCTGCAGCCGTTCAAAAAGAACAAGCTTGAGGTGATTGGGAAGGGCCCGCAAAAGTAGTATCGAAGCTTTCTGATACCAATTGTGAAGAGAAATTAGGAAGGCGGCCGAACAAAATTTATCACAGTAACTTGAAAGCAGTCGTAAATCTGTTGTTGAATGCTTCAGTGGAAGAGGAAGCAGAAAATTTGAGTTCTAGTGAGGTAATCGAAGGGGGATCGAAAGTAATCCGGGAGCAGATAAACCTAGAGCCTAGCTTAAGTGAGGGAGGACCTGAGAAAGAGGACCTGAGAAAGATTGTTTCCGAGTTTGGGTATGTGTTGTCGGACCGTCCCGGAGACACGACGGTGATCGAACACGATATCGAGCTAAGCGGTGAGGAGTCAATCAGTAGCAAGTCGTATCGTTGTTCCCCTGTGCAACGTCGCAAGTGTGAGCCGCTCTTGGTGCCGCATAGGTATCGTCGCCTAAAAGTGGCCGGTTACTGAGGTGGAGCATGTTGCTCCACAGCGCAACTTGGACGTTCGCTAAAGAAAAAAAAAAGGAAAGGTAAACGTTAATGCAGGTGCATTGAGCAGTGCGTTTAGTTAGTACCTTGTCAACCTTTCGGTTTCTGGCTGGCGATTCGGGGCAAAATTTTGACCTCATCACGACCTGGGCTGAGCGCTCTCGTTTAGAGTGATCTCAAGGGGCCAACTTTGTGGTATTCTAATTCGTTACGTTGTTGTACGTGGAAAAAAAATTGAGTTGTCACTTTAAGAGTCTTGTGTCCCACATGTGCCTCTTGATGTAGAGGGAACAAAATTCCAATAGACACGTAGATAGGTATATGTTGTACTATACTTTGTCTGGTGTTCTGTCGGGTGACCGAGGGCACTTGCTTGTGTCGTGTGTTGTCTGTTGTCGAACCGTTCTTGGCAAGTCGCAGAACCATCGACAAGTGCTGAAACCGAAGATGGTCAGAAGAGACGAGTGAAGCTGGTCGACAAGTTGTGGCGACAAGCCAGTGGAGCTGGGATCCGTCGTCAAAAATGGGACGTGTTCCCGGAACAGTCTGGAGCTGTATTCTCCCCATGGCCCTGAAGGCGAACCTGGAGGGACCTGGCGAACGAGCGCACCTGACATCCGAGCCCCGTGGAAGCAGCTCGTATTTCCGGTGCATTGTCTGGCGGCGGGGGTGCTGTTATGCCAGCGAGTCCTCGTCAAACGACCGTGCCTCGGAAAAAGGCAATCTGGGTCAAGGCCAACCCTCAGTCCGCCTGGCGCGATCAACTCGACGGCGCGAACACGCGCGGCGCCCCTCTGGCCCACGTGCAGTGAGTCAGCTGCGCACGTGACAGCGAGCCGGCGTCCTCGTGTCTGGTGGTCTGACGCATGGCGCGGCAACCCCATTGGAGGAATCTGCCCTGACGACCAGCGGCGCTTCTGATTGGACATTTTGGTTGGACCCGGTGTAAATAAAAGAAGCCCTGCGGCGCGTCGCGATCGGAGGTCCTATGAGAGAGGAGTCCCCATGTCGGAGAGCCGACATGTGTGTGAGTCAGCGGTCTTAGGCGAAAGGCTGACCTATGTGTTAGAGAGGAGAGCTCGGCTCTTCGAGTCTCTGTCGGCCCCAGTGCCGAAATTGTAACGCCTCTGTATATATGCTGTACATAAACCTTATTTAACTCACCGTCGTCTCGCCCGCTCGTCTTATCAGCTCTGCGCAGAAGCAGTCGCGAGCTGAGAAACATACGCTACCAAACGGCTGGTGACCTTCCCGGCGGAGTTGAAAGCAGTGGCGCCCTGGGGACGTGTTGGCATCGCCGTCTTTCGCAACACCAGAGGCGGTAAGCTGATATGAAGCGCTGGTGTTTACGTTGTGTATGCGCGCGAGAACGGTAGCCTTCAACACTGCTACACAAATCAACTTCAGCAAATGACGCCAAACTACTATTTACGTTATCCCTATAACATAACAGCTGTATCGTAGGAGTACATATCTAATGTTTACAAAATTGGATAGCCAGTATTGTTACCACAATTGACGTTAGACGAACATTAGGGTCTATTTGAAAAGGATATCCGAGGCCCAGCGTAACTCGGTGGTTTGAATACTCCATTGTCACGCAGAATGCTAGGGTTGGATTCATGCTGAGACACTTGCATTTATAGTTTGCATTCGGCCGGTCAACACTGCATACCTATAGCAGCCTTTTCTCAGCGCTCCGATGTGTGTTATCACCGTTCAAATGATATTACCTGGGGGACATGTGCGCATACCAGAGGCATATACCCGCCCCCGGTTGTGCGCTCTGTTTTTTTGAAAGTGTTTGACGACGTACGCGACAAGAGTGTGGCATTATTCATGTCATGACCAGCGAGTCGTATTCAACAAACCATCTTACTCTCCTGTACTAATTTGGAGTACCCAAAGTTAAGGGAATGATCATGAGAGCACCCAGGCAAGGCAGGCAAGGCAAGGCAAGGCAAGGCAGGCAGGCAGGCAGGCAGGCAGGCAAGGCAAGGCAAGGCAAGGCAGGCAATGCAGGCAAGGCAGGCAAGACAGGCAGGCAGGCTGAGGGATAGATAGATAGATAGATAAATAGATAGATAGATAGATATATAGATAGATAGATAGATAGATAGATAGATAGATAGATAGATAGATAGATAGATAGATAGATAGATAGATAGATAGATAGATAGATAGATAGATAGATAGATAGATAGATAGATAGATAGATAGCGCCAAAAGTGCATGCAGTACTCAAAACAAATGCTTCCCATATCTGAGCTTAACTACGCGTGTTGTCTGAGCCTTGCGTGTGTTATACTAGCCAACTCACGGTATTCCTACGTGAACGTGAAACACGTTAACCGCTTTACTTGGTCTGGCCGACTATTATTCTCAATTTAGTTAAACGAAAACGTTCCACTGTTTTCGCAAGTTGATGTTATATCTTACCATTCAGGAGGACTTGAAGTCGCTTGATCGCGACGTGGCCTTTTTTCGTCAGGTACCCCTGGAAGAGATAGAGAAGGTGTTCTCAACAGCGACCATGCAGGTGCGGTTATAACAGTAGCAACCCAAGATTACAAGAGCATCAACTGAGACGAACGCTAAATATAGTTCACGCTTTATAGTATTTGATCGATTGATATGTGGCGTTTAACGTCCCCAAACCACCATATGATTATGAGAGATGCCGTAGTGGAGGGCTCTGGAAATTTCGACCACCTGGGGTTCATTAACATGCACCCAGATCTGAGCACACGGGCCTGCAGCATTTTCGCCTCCATCGAGAATGCAGCCGCCGCTGCTGGGATTCAATCCCGCTACCTGCGGGTCAGAAGCAGAGTACCTTAGCCAATAGACCACCTCGGCGGGGCACGCTTCATAGTAGTTTCGTGGTGAGCATGTGGATATGTCGTGGTTAGCTAAGTAACAGAATAGATTTTTTAAGCGTGAAGACCCCTGATCCCCTGTGATAAAATGTGACGCATGAGCGGTGGTGAGCAAGACGGATCAAATTGCGACCCCCATGACCGGGGTCGAACCCGTGATTTTCGGGTCCGCAGCTGAGCATTGCAACCGATACATCACCACGACGGCCGCGTGAATCGACTGTACATACTCCCTGCACGAACAAACTACAACATCGTGTCTTCGTTCCATTTTACTGCTAAGCAGCCTAGTCCTTCGATAATTGCTAGGTATTTTTCTTCTGTAGATTTATTTATTTATAAACCTCATAGTACGTACTATGGTTTAGCACGTGTCAAAATACACTGCCTCCGATTTGTTGGTCGTTGCAATTTGGTTTAGGAGTATCGCAAAAGATTCAGTGGACTTACTTATTATTTAATTTTAAGGATACGAAAATTATTACTAAATAATAAAAAAGCGTTGCGTAACTATGGATAACACGCTCGTGCCATTGTTTCCATGTTTTCATGTAGTCCAGAGAATCGGCACTACTGATAACAATTATTTAGGTCACTGTAAAGCTTGGGCGCGAATAGAAATACGCCACCTACTCCATTCTGTGGCAGAGTCTCCTTGTACGCGTCAACCAGCCTTTCCAGGGCACGTTCGCTACGAGAAAACGCAAAGCAAACATATTTCTGAATAAGTCTTCGCAACACCATATTTGTTTATATGTTGTGACAGAAGCGGTCTGTCAAAGCATGAAACGAAATAAATAGAATAGCGTTACCGCCAAGTAAACTGAGCATGATTGGTACACTCAAGGTTTCATTGCATGTATCCCTATTCCAAAACCCAGCGCCATTCGGTACCAGCGTCCAGCGCCATGCCTGATCATGGGCCCAGTATCGGGCTGAATATTGAGACGCTGGAACAGCATGTTACCGAGATGTGCTGGGTACCCTGTGCAAAATGGCTTCACGGAGTTAAAAAAGGGGTGCCTATTTCCAATAAATAAATAAATAAATAAATAAATAAATAAATAAATAAATAAATAAATAAATAAATAGGGAAAAGAAGTGATGTAGCACCCATTAAAAGTAAAAAAAAAAGTCCGCCGACAGCATATGAACTAGCCACCTAGTTCAAGGCACGCGCGCATGGGTAAACACAATATTTATAAACCCGACGACTTTTACCTGATCGACAAAGACGGCAGCGGGGGCAGGAAGTCGTTTCCGACCAGAAAGCACAGGAAAACCCAGTCATCGATGGCTCGCTGAAACAGTTTGAGAGGCCATGTTAGAACGTTTTAGCGAAGTTAAACGAGAAGGCATGTGATCGTTATCAGATGGTTCGCGGCTAGGTGCAGCAATGTCTAAGGCTGTGTTCCGTTACTCACCGTAGACGGCTAAATAGACAGCTAAATGAACAGCGACCATCTTAAGTCCTATTCCAATTCTCACGTAGCCGGCAAAATAGACAGCTCCGAGAAGACCGCATCGTTGACAAATACGATGCAGGCTACTTTGCTGTCTAAACAAAATGGCGGCTCAGCAAATCGCTCAGATAGATCGGATATCGCCAGAATGGTCCTCTGCACACAAGGTGACGCTTTCCCAGACGCTCAATGTGAGGAACGTTTATTTGTTTTTGATATCTACACGAAATAAGCCAGAAAATACAACTGTTACCGTTGTATATTTTAGCTTTTTCTTTTCGACGCGAAGTGGCGCACTGTCGCGTAAAAGCCGTTTAAATGTGTTCCGATTCTCGGACAGCATGGGCTCGATGCTGTCTTTTAAGCAGTCTTCGTAGACTGTCTACGTGCTGTCTAAGAATTGGAACACCGCCTATATGGACAGTCTTGGCTGGTTTTTTTGCCGTCGCCCCCACCACTCACGTTATATATATACGGGATAGGATGCGCTACTAGCCTCCTCCTTCTGCGCAGTGAGCATCGCCTTTCTGACCGGGGTTGTCTGCTTCCACGCTTATCTCGTGAGCGAACAAGAGAAGGAAGGGGGGCGCTTATGGTTGCCGCGCTATCGTGGCAACGATCAGCGCTCGGCTCTTGCCCCCACAGCAGGCGGGAGCTTCTACGAGCTGGGCTCTCGAAACGAAAAAAAAAAAACAGTGCCAAAAGTGTAGTTGGAGTGGCCGTCCACAAACAGATGCGCTCTACCCAAAACAAGCCGCCACCAGCGGCGACACACGACGAATATAGGCCTTAGCACAAGACAAGCATGCGCTGCCGTCATTACGCACGAGCCTCGTTGTGGTCATCTACTGTGGCCGCGCCGCAGGGAACTTGGTTATTTAGCAAGCGCATGTTTACTACAAGTATTATTGCTGCTAAAATGCTAGCCTTGCTTCGTAAAACATTCGAATATGACGCTATCGCATTAATTGCTTCGCCATTTTGGCGAAACTGTGCCTTTTTTTTATAAAGGTCATGCGAAACATGCTTCGTCGTACTAACGAATGGCGCAGCGCACTTGCCATCTCTGCGCGCTCACCTTTGACTGTCACCTAGCACATTTCGTGATTTGGTCATCATTCCTCTTTTATTTCATTCACTAACGCATACACTCAGATAGGGCCTGCTTGTAGGGCTCCTGCTTTTCCAGTAAACGTGACCGTACGTATACCCACTCAGAGCCCTTGGATTTCTTTTTTACGTTCCCGTGTATACTGCCTCGTTTTACTGCACTGTTTAACTCGCACTTTTCATGTATCTATCAACTACAAACATATTTGTTATTTGCCGATATGTGGCTACCACACAGCGGCGGCCTTTTTCAGCACTTTCAACTAATCTCGTTGTGCTGGCTGCAGCTTCTACTTCAAATTTTCGCACTCATTGATAGCATGTACGTATCTCTAATCATGCCTAGTGAGTAAGCGCGACTGACAAGGACGTAGAAATACGCAGAAATAAACCCACAAAAACACATGCACCACTTTCAGATGATATGTTCTCACCAACCGATCAATATATACCGAGCGATGAGAGCCGACAATTGTTCGACCCGCTCTTGACGAACTTCGTGCAGCTCTCATCAACGAATACGAACTAACCTGCTCGGCTTACAATCCTAATATCCCACCCATCTTTCGCTCGTGGATGCGATTCTTTAGTGTCTAGCCATATCAGTCCTCGCTCTAAAAGTATACCTATACGCACACAAGGACACTAACCTCCTCGGAGAAGGCAAAGGGAAGGTTCTTCACGTAAAGCTCACTTGCCAGCAGGTCCCACAAGGTGTTGATGCGGACAAATACAAATGACACTTCAGGCGGAGGCTTCTGCATTTCGAAAAAAAAAGAAACATTTCAGAAAGAAACCGAGTTATCAGGCTGATAACTTACATTGCTTACATATCATTGACAGCCTAACTGACATAAGAGGTCCGCAATGGCTAATATTCTTGAGCAAGGCATATCATGTGTGGTGGCTACGACATCTCAAATTTATCCCACTATAGGTCAAGTATTTGCAACGTGTGCGCTATAAAAAAATGTCACACACGATCATACAATCTACACTGCTACATCGCTTAAATAAAAAAAAAATACTTTTAGTTGACTAAGCCCTTTAGTATCCGCCTCGTATATACAGGGGGGTGAATTGTGCTGCGAGCCATGCCTGTCGTGGTCTAACCACATTTTTGTTTCAGCTTTCTGCTTTCGGCAGCTTCATCCTGCATACTTTTATATCCCAAAGAGTGCAAGACAATAGCATATTTTGATAACTGTGTGCAGAATAAATCACTCTTACTATAGGCTCAGTTCTTGTAGTAAGCATCCCCAGAACATTTAACAGCTTTCAGTGAGGCTTCTTTTTTCCCTCGCGAATGATGGATATGATTCAAATTGTATGGCTGGAGTTCCAGGTAATGAATAAACGTAATTCAACAATACATAATGGCATGCTATTATAAGCTTCTGCTTGATGATGTCAAGTTTGCAAAGCAACACAACGATGGCTATGAAACATGAACACAACGAATGGAGGAAATGACTCACCCATTCTTCTCCGTCGTCGTCCGGAAGGCCTCGGCATTTTTCCTTCTCGTGGCCTGCGCAAAGGTGTTAGCAGCATACAAGTCCTAAAATACAGATGTTAACTATCAACTAAGACTTTATCGAAAGCATGATTAGTGAGGATAAAGTTTAAGGATGCACCATAAAACGAAGATTGCAAAATTGTCAGACTGCATGGAGTGTTGTTTCGCACTTTCATTCGGGAGTTGGATATCGAATGGTTAACCTTCTAAATGCAGCCATCCAACTTAAGCGCGTGAGTTGCCTGGCTACCGGAGAAGGCAGTGGACCTCGACATCTGTTGTTTCCTCCACCTACTTCGTATCTCTAAACTAATGCTTCCTTGGGAGCGGCTGTCGCTGCACGCGGTGCATGTACGCGGGCTCTGTGCCACTGCGCCAGGTGTGTGGTAGCGAGAGCCAGCCAGTGTGGAAAAGACAGTATATATCTTCGGGCCACGTCTTGCACACGTCTTGCAAAATGATGGTGCAACTGTAAACAATGTCACTTTAAACAATGTCACTGTCCCAACCGCTTTGCAAAGGTACAGTGTCACAAAGGGTTCACTGGGCTCGTCAGGCTGTCCAGCAACAGCTTTCAGCCATACCTGTGTCTTTTTTGCGGAAAAGTTTGATTGATCTGATTTTTATTTGTAGATCAGGTTCCGCGAAAGAAAGAATAGTCTTGCGTCCTCAAAGTTGCCACAACTAAAGTGGTGGAGGTGTGGATTATGCACACTGGACTTGCGGACTCAACATGGATGCCAGCTCTTCCCTCACGTTGTTGCAGAGGCTACCACCAAGAAGTGTCGTACGAACGGAGCTCAAGAGCCCACGACTGTAGCCACCATACCACAACGCAGCTTGTATAATAGTTGCAGTTTCTCGCGTATAATATAAGGTATCAACGTACGCAGCTTGCTGTCGTTGGTTGCCGGAAAGACAGGTACGTCAGGTTGCTGGCGGATAAGACGGAGATCGTCGAGGCGCGGACCCATACTAATGATATCAGTGACTGTGGTATGAGTATTTGCTGCGAGAGCGTTGAATGCCATGGCGTCGATGCATTTGAGCAGCTGTCGAACGCGGTCAATCTCCACCATCAAGCAGTCATCGTGGTGGCAAAAGGTGAGAACGTCTTCTATGCATATAATTCACCGGAGTGCTGGAACCACTCAGCAAGCTTCCGTTCAGCGATGCCTGAGCGGACAGAAGGATTATAAAAGATCTGACGGAGGAGCTGCTTAAAGGTGGCCCAGTCGGCAAAATCCAGCTCATGGCTGAAAAAACCGAGATTTGGCAACGGGAGTGGCTGAGCAAACTCTCGTGGTCGTACTGCTTCAACCATTTCTGAACATCTTCACCGCGAAGGCCAGCGGACAGGAAGGTGTCAAATAATTGACGGGAGAAGCTGCCTAAATGTGGCCCAGCCGGCGAAATTCAGCTCATGGTTGAAAAACAAAGCCTTGATAACACCCGTTAGATAGAATGGTACGCGGGAGTCTCACTCGCTGGATTCCGTGCCGACCAGTTGTGCCCTCGTGATCTCCGACGTCAGCGTAGCTCTGGCCCACTGGGCTGGCCCTACGTCATCTCCTGACGCCGACCTCCGACGACAGCCTAGCTCTGACCTACTGGACTTGCCCTACGCCATCTCCTGACGCCGACAAGAGCTCTCGCAAGTGGTGCTCCGTCCTCGGACTCCTGTCACCGTGTTTCCATCTTTCCTATCTCTCCTATCCCCTCGATATGTCCTCGCTCTCTGGCTCAGCGCATCTCTCTCTCTCTCTCTCTCTCTCCACACCTTTACTTCTATCCTTTTAATCCCTCCTCACTTCCATCCCCTGTGAGCTATGTTGAGGTGTCGCATCCTGATGCAGACAGTTACGGGGCTCACTTTTCTCTTCTTTTCCCTCTTATAGCCACATCTCTCGCAGGATCGTCATGGTGGTTGAGAAAACTCACGCGGTCGTACTGCTCCAACCATTCCTCAACACCTTCACCGCGAAGGCCAGCGAACAGCGGGGGATCCTTTTGAGGGGTGGTGACAGTCAAAGAAGGCACCCCCTCCCTTCCCCAGGAGGCAGGCGGGGCGGATGGAGCCGCGGTGCTCTGTTCGTCACGTGACATGGTCGAGGGCTGGTTACGAAGACGGCGACCTGAACTGTAGCTCCAGGGACACCTTGTAACGGTAGCTGATGAGGCACCACCGCACACTGAAGACTAGGGGTCTGGACAGCACTATCCACCACTTGTAAGGCAACGTTCAAGACTCTTCTTTATTGTCCGAGCCTGAGCCCCACAAAGATGAGTATATGAAGCGCGTGAATAATGCTCCCAATACGTAGAACCGGGAACATGAACGCGATACGTCATATAGGTTGTTGTAAAATGAATTAATTATCTCTCACTTTCTGCTGTTATATTGGAAAGTGCGAGTATGTACCCTACCAGGCTGCTCACAGAGTTTGCAGAACTTGGCTTCATGGTAGCGCGGGTCTTCCTTGATGACAGTGAAATAGGGCTCATGCGTCAGCAGCCCCAGCATAATAAGGTCGGCTGGAAAGAGAAACAAAATTGTTCGAAGATGAGATGTTTTACTCGGAATGGTTGCATCGCATATTCTAAATACGGAAAGTTCTAGCTGTCGTCTTCAGGTCGTGCATCGAAACCAAAAACAGTTGGCGGAACGAGATGACAGAAACCTATAGTTGTTTTCGGTTACGTACACCTCAATGTTGAATTTGGTGTGTCCATGAAGTCTCAGCGAAAGAAATATATTGCAAGCAGTGCTTCTCCGACGAGAGCCACCGCGAGACACTGAAAAGGCGTGCTTTACCAACCTCCGTCGATCCTCAAAGAACACTTATCAACATAGTATATAGCATGTCATTGATGGGTACTCGCATTCACAAGATCGTTGATAACGAGGCAGTTCAGCTAACAGACGAAATATGCGCGCCTCTTCCGTTTCAAAAACTACATGTCCCGAATTTTCATTGAAAACCATGTCTGAGGAGCCACTTCGTAATCTTATGAAAATAAGTATACATTGCCATAACATTCCGTTACTTCACTCAGAAAAGTTGGCGGCAACATAAAGCCTAACACAGCACACGCGAGTACAGACAAGGCAAATAGTTGGAATTCGACTGATGTATTGGACTGAGAGTGCACATAACAAAATAAGGCCAGACCTTCGATGCAATGGCGAACAAATCCTCGTAATAGCACCATCCGTGTCCTCGCAACCACCGTGCTCGGAACCTTTTCCAACTTGGACTTATTAACCACCTCTTTATTACGTAAATATTTTGTCGTAGCCTATACGAAACTCCTCGATGCATGTAATTTCGACTTGATCTTATGCACATCATGGCACGCCGGGGTGGTCTATACAGCGGTTATGGTTAGTGGTACGGCGCAACAGAAGGTTGGGGGATCGACTACCGGAAGCGCTGGCCTCGATTCGGTGTAAGCGAACCGATAGAGAGCCCTGTATGCTTAGATATATAGGTGCTCGTTAAAGAACACCAGGTAGCCTAAATTTCCGGAGTTCTCCACTACACCGTCTGTCATTATCAGATCGTAGTTTCGAGACGTAAAACCCCCACAATTCCAAATGTAACCCCCAACGAAGACCCATCCAGTATTCGTAACTGCGCTGGTATAGTTGGGGATAAAACAAATAATTGGTTGCTTTGTCGTTCACTTATTTATTTACAATATTGGCACTCTAATTTTGGAACCATAACATGTTATAGGGAAGAATTGACTAATTTCTCGTTGTAAGTGGGCAAAATTTGAGTTTTGTAATGCCATCTTCGACAAATCACACCGCTGCGCACTGGGAGTTTTGGTGAAGACGCAATAGGTCACTTACCATCTGGACCGTACAGGCAGTGTCTCGTCTGGGAATCGTGCTTCTCGCTGGCTGCGAAAAAAATTAAGAGAGGCGACATGCGATACACTGAATCGTTGACCCATATGAGGGCTGATTGTTTATCGGTGCGAAAGATCTTCTGGCAATCTGTGTGAAAGCTATTTCCTCTAAACAAGGGGGCATTTAAGGAATGTGCCGTACAATGGGGCACAAAAAAACGAAAAAAAAAACCTGCATCATTAACAATCTTTTAAATTGCAGAGGAAAGGCTGCGTGCGCTAACCTTGTTCGGCGCGAATGAAGTCCATAATTTTGTGTTCCCCTTCACCGGGAACCGTGGAGTCGGACAGGACGACCTCGATACCGCTCCAGCCAGGATCGTAGTTGAGCCGGTGGTGGATGTAGAAGTTCAGAGAATCGTTCACCAACTCCATGAATTCCGTGCCCTGCGTGCACAAAAACATAGGAAAAAACTACAGCTACGCCTAATTAAAAGTGCCCTAGCTATAGCGTAAGCAAAAACTGGTGCGATATATGCAAAAGTTGTAAAAATTGGACATATCCCACGTGCCAGGGAAATTGATGTCATGCGAACCATGCGGAGCGAAGATGACTGTGAAGTAACTTTTTGTTGTGGAAAACGTTACGGAATGGCGCTAAACATATGTGCAAATGTTTTACACACACATACGTATGTTCAACAGTCGTACATGTTTGTATAACCAGTGGTTTGCAGTTCCGTAACGACGCCAAGAGCGACATGGGTATTTAATAACAGAAACGGTAAACTGAAATTTAGCACTAATTTTGCTTGCGAGGCTGGGAAACCTGGAAGGCGCTACGTAGACCAACCTCAGTGGATGGCAGTGGAGTACAACTGAAGTTAAACCAGCATGACGCTTGGAGTGCATATGTAATGTTTTTAAAACTATATGGGTGGCACCGCAACTAAAGACGACGTTTCATAAACAATACGCCTACGTAATGTCTTTTTTCAAAGGAGTTCCGAGACCTAACGGGGCTGTAGTAGAATACTTGATTGTCACGCGGAATACCTGGGTCTGGCTCCTGCTGAGACAATAACGTATATCGTTTGCCCCTACTCCATGCATACTAGTCGTCCTCGAGTTTGAACGAAAACGAGCTTCGCAATGCACGGAAAAGCAAACATGGGGGTGATGGAGTGCTTTTCACAATGGCCTGTCTTTGGTGCCCACCTTCCGAGAATAAAAGTTGGGGGAAAACAATCTTTGGATTGTAACATCAGTCGTCTTCGACTGTCACTATTGTCAAAAATTGCATGCCCATACAACCCCACACTAGAAAAGACTACGGTAAAAGCCCGACAGAGTAAAGGCAAGCTCTAAAAAAAAAGGGGGGGGGGGGGCGGGGTATTTGACTCTTATTTTTACAAGCAATTGTCAAAGGCATAACACTCTCTTTAGGGAGGCACGTTGCCTCTCTTTAGAATTGTCATGCTGTGACTCTTCTTGGAAAGTCGCGCGTTTCACGACTCCCCTAAAAAAAACGCAGCATATCCACGGAGTGAATGATGATGAGTAGGGCGAAGCGTCCATCAGCCCGTCCATGCTTCCGTCCGTCCGTTCGTTCTTGCTTCCGGCCATCCGCGTGACCCCCCGTGCGTCAACCCATGCATCTGTCCATGAGTCTGTACATCTGTATGTCCGTCCGTTCGCATGTTCATCCATCCATCCGTCCATCCGTCCGTCCATCTAGTGATCACTACAAGTGCCGCCATATCCCATCTCGCAACCGCTGTGGCACATACCCGCTCTAGAGTGGGTATATGCCACCGGTGGCTATATACATACATACATACATACATACATACATACATACATACATACATACATACATACATACATACATACATACATACATACATACATACATACATACATACATACATACATACATACATACATACATACATACATAATCATACATACATATATACATACATACATACGGAGGAGCGACAAACCCACGCCATAAGGAGCTTCACCCCTGAAAGAGTCGACATGCCTCTCTGAAGAGAGCGCTACGCATGCGACTGTCACATACCAAAGGGGAATTAGAATCAAAAAGGTAGACAGCGGCACCCTCAAGAGGCGAAAAAGCAGCTCCCTCTCCCTCAACTATGCACGCTCTAACCTATAACTGTTTGGTCAAATGTAGTAGTTATTTATTTATTTTATTTATTTACTTGCAATACCCTCAGGGCCAAACGGCATTACAGAGGGAAGTGGTTGCGAAAGAAAAGACAAATTTTTTTACAAATGCAGCGGCGAATCTTACATCGAGCAGAAGATCTTAATTATACAGGTTAGCTAACAGGCTTTATAGCAAACAAAAACGCGGGAATGATGAGAATTACATCAAGACAGAAAAAACGACAAAATAAATACTGTACAGGAACAACACAGCATCGGGTAATACAATACTTTGTTGGCTGTAATTACACATAACTAGCTAAGACACTTTTGAAATGAAGGTGATTTACAATGGTTGCCGCTGATGCGGGAAGCCGGTTCCAGTCCTCAGAGGTGCGAGGTATGAAAGACTGAGAAAAGGCGCGAGTCCTGCAAGAAGGCAACCCGACCTTATGGGAATGATCCAGCCGGGGTGAGATATAACTAGGAGGCAAGATAAGACCGTCCCGCAGCGATGTGTGATGAAACAGCTTGTGAAACAAGTGGAGACGAAACATTTTACGACGGGATGAAAGTGAAGGTAAGTTGAGGCTAGATTTCATGGCTGTTATGCTAGCTGTCCTGTTGTAATTAGAAAGTATAAAACGAATTGAGTTATTCTGTACCATTTCAAGAGAGTGTATTAGGTTGGCATGACTAGGATCCCATACTGCAGCGGAATATTCAAGTTTAGGTCGTATTAGTGTAGTGTAAAGAAGAAGTTTCAAAGAAGAAGGGGCCGTTGAAAAGTTGCGGCGGAGGTAACCTAATATTCGGTTAGCATTTTTAATGACATAATTACAGTGAACAGTCCAGGTCAGATCAGTTGTTATATGCACCCTAAGGTATTTATAGTTTGTCACGGATTGAAGAGGGGTGTTATCAAGGTAATAGTTTGGAAGTTGATGGCTCGCTCTCGAAACACGTTAAAATTGGCATTTCTTATTGTTTAATTCCATGAGCCATGTTTTACACCAAAGAGAAATGGAGTTAAGATCATGTTGAAGAGAGGTAATATCGCCATCACAAGTTATCTCTCGGAAGATTACGCAGTCATCCGCAAATAAATGAATATTGGAGGTAATTCAGGACGGTAAATCATTAATGTATATAAGGAAGAGCAGTGGGCCTAGTACGGACCCTTGTGGTACGCCGGAATGAATGGCACTTGGTTCAGAGCTTACATTATTAACTGAAACAAATTGAGAACGATTTTTCAGAAAACATTCGAGCCATGTTAGAAGCCTGGGATCTATATTAAGTTCATTTAATTTGTGCAACAGCGAGTTGTGACAGACTTTATCAAAATCTTTGGAGAAATCTATGAATATGCAGTCGGCAGAGCTAGTTTGGTCGATAATAACGTTTAATTTGTGTGTAAAGGCTACAAGCTGGGTTTCGCACGAGAATGTTTTTGTAAAGCCATGTTGGTGACGCGTAAAAAAACGAGTTAGACTCAAGGAAGGTTGCAAGGTTAGAGTACAAAATGTGCTCCAGTATTTTGCATGGAATGCTAGTAAGTGAGATGGGTCTATAGTTTAATGGGAAATGCTTGTCACCGGACTTGTGAAATGGCACAATTTCGCCAGTCTTCCATTCGATTGGTAATACGCCTTCGTGAAGAGACTGTTGAAAAATTTTAGTAAGAATAGTGGATGAGTAGGCAAAGGTACCTTTAAGGAACTTGGTGGTAATCAGGTCGCAGCCCGGGGCGGATGAAAGTTTGTGGGACTTAATTATGTTTTCTGCACCAACAGAATCTATCATAATTGGGAACATGATTGGGTAGTTATAGCATATCTTAGGTGGCAGAGGAACATTAATAGTGCGACAGAAATTGCCAGTGAAAGAGATGTTGAGAGATGAAGCGCACTGCTCAGGGGCTACAGCGTCTCCAGAGCCATTGATAAGGGTTATTGTTTGTTCACTACTTGGGTTTATGACGCGCCAAAACTTTTTAGGATCGTTGGATAGCATGGATGGAAGAGTGGTATTGATAAATGTGTCTTTAGCAGATTGGATGACTCTGATGTACTCAGCAGACGCTAATTTGTAGGCATTCCATCGGACAGCGTTGTTAGAACGCTTTGCTAATCTGTATAGACGCTTCTTTTTGTTGGATAGCCGTTTAATGTGGTTATTAAACCAGGGGGCGTGTAAGTTTGTAGTGATAGAGCGGACGGGGATGTATTTGTTGGTCAGTTCATCTACCTTACGTATAAACAGATTCCAATTAGTTTGGACAGTGCGTTCATCGAAACCCTCCAGAAAAGTGTCAAGAAAATTGCACAGGTCATTGTTAATGCCTTCAAAATTTGCTTTATTATAATCGCGAATTATTTTGGTGCTCTTAAGCGGCTTCGGACGCGGGAGCTTAATTTTGAACGACAATAAAGAATGATCACTTAGGCCCGGTGCGTAGGTAATGTTCGAAACAACGTCAGGACTGGTTGTTAGTACGAGGCCAAGGGTATTGGCGGTTGAAAATGTTCTTGTTGTTGGTTCATGAACTACTTGAAAGAAAGAAAATACAGAGCACAGGTCGACGAATTCTTTGGCTAATGTTGATAGTGGAAGTACGGTAGGTGGCTCGGTAGCCTAATTAATATTAGGAATGTTGAAATCACCCAATAAAAATAAAGGCAGGCTAGGATAACGAGAAGAAGCTGTATGTGTTATGTCATGAAAGTCATTTATGAAGTCGGAAGTGTGATCAGGGGGACGATAGCAAACGCCCACGATTATTTTATGATAACCAAGTTCAATGATACAGTTCAATTATACACGACTGTTGTTGAATCCTTTGGATTGATGTAGGAATTGATGAAACTGTTGTAATAGGAAACTGAGTCCCGCATTTCTTGTCTGATTTTCAAGTGTCCACAGCAGTTTGAGACGGTGGTCGTAAAAGCAGTAGGCGGCGTATTCTGAAGCGTAGGTGCATATGTTGAATGATTACGCCACTATTACTTACTTATGATTACTCATAACAAGAGCGCAGCCGCTGCGCTGAGTAACTTGTGATGGTTCGCACTACGTAGACGTACACCATGCAGCTGAGTTCACGGTTCAGCTCTATTTTCACTAGGTAACATCTTCGTAATGCACTTCCACGCGCATTATTTAACGAGATATGACTGTGTTCAATTGCTTAGCTAAGTTTACAGTGACATATATCAAAAATAAAACAAGGAATGATGAAGTGAGGCATCTAAAAGAAATGAATAAAGCAAGCAAAACAGTTTTAGAAAATAAAGAAAGCTCAAGAAATGCAGACAATAAAATGTTTTAAATTTGACACGTTATAAAATATTAATTTCGGTATTTCAGTGTTCGAGTTACCCGATTCAGGTATTGCATGCATATACTTTATCTGTTGCCTTGAAAGCAGAGATGGAGGGAAGTATACGCCTCAAGCGAATCGGCTTATTTACGTATTATCTGTCATGCTCTCTCAAGTAGACTTTTTCTTGAATTTTATCTGTTTGCAATTAACCCATAAATAATACCCAAATTTTCTCATGGCGGAGAAGAATAGACTATTATTGTGTACCACGTAAACCAAGCGCAAGATTATGTTGTTTTTTTTTCGTCTGAGCTAATGTTAGATGAACACGCCCCATAATCTGCGCTGATCATTTGTGCCTCCATGTGTGCATGTGGTTGGAGAGATGTTGCCGCATTCCTCGGAACACCTCATCCGAATGACGTTTGGCATGCAATAGAACTTGTAAACACGTCTATAGTACGTTCGAGTTATTTTACTCATAAAGCTAGATAATATTTTAACGATCAGAACAGGGTTACCGCGGGACTTGACCTTCCGAAACGCGAGGATTGCGGAAATGCGCGCACCAGCGCTCACTGCTTCAGGAGCCGCCACTTTTTGCAGAATAGCTGCTGTCTACTAGCTGCCAAATTTACTGCTTTGTGTAATTAGGAAAGTACATATGCCATTAAGAAGCGGCCATATACTGTCTGGCGTTATGCCGCCCCCTTATTCCCCAAAGGCTGTAACGCGGTGGTGGTGAAACATTTATTAACCATTAAATGGTTACAGAGAGGTCATTGGGTTGGGGCCTTATTGGCCTCCTACCCTCACAGCACTAGGTAGGACACCTATTCCGGAGCTCCATTGGCAAGCAACGCCGCCCGCGCCCTTTGAACCAGGGCCTTTCGGGCCTTCAGGTCTTGACAGCCGAGCAGCTAGGGCCGCCTCCCAGTCCTCTCTCGTGGGGTTGGGATTGGGGGGGATAGATGGATTAGACTGGAACGCCCAGACGATGTGGAAGGTGTGAGCCACCTCACCACAGAACTGGCACGTGTCATCAAAGGATGAATTGAATTGTTTTAGCACCGCCGGGCACAGTACAGTATTGGTAAACAGTTTTAAAAGGAGGTCAGCGCGATGCTATAACGTAGCTTTAACCGAGTACGCGCTTGGACCATTCTGCACGCTGGTGAACCGAAAGAGGGCGCGCTCACCGGCGTGATGCAGTTGCTGTCGAAGGGTTGACGCTCGGGCGGCAGGCGCGCGCCTCGCTCGACCAGATTGGCGCGGAGCTGCGCCATCTGCTGGGCCGACTGTTCAGATTCCTTGGCGCCCTTGAAGCGACGGGTGCGCTGCTGGTTTATCTTTGACCTTGGTGCCTGCGAAGAGACAGGCGCCCAGTAGTGAGAACCAAGAGCTTTCGGAACATGAGAAGTTATCGATGCGACGGTTATTAGGCAGGCAGTTCCCGCGCGTAGTCTTACCACTCCGTCCACGGCAATGTAGACAAGTTTCCTGGGCCTAACGATGGCGAAGATGCGGTCGAGGTACTCGAACATCCCTTTTAACCTGTCGGCGTCGCTTCTTGGAGCTGGCCTGATGAATAGCAAGACAACACAAAAACAATATAGTCGACTTCTGGACAAGGTTGGCCGACCTCTCTTCATTTGATTAAATCTTCTCTCTCTCTCTCTCTCTCTCTCTCTGGAGAGTGTCCAATCAGCGAGGAAGCTCAAGTACATCGTTTCGTTCAGGTGTTTTTCGTAGTTACTCTGCCGTACCTTCCAATACTTCTGGGAGAAATTAAGCATTCACTCTTGCGATTTCATATTGACATTGTACATTGAGCTGCCTGAACTTCAGGTTTACGTACAGCAGTCTGAATTTGACCTTGAAGGCCTGAAATGGTTGTCTTTTAGGTTTCTCCATGAATTCAGTCCGTCGACCGCATCACTCACCACTAGAGGATAATTAGATTATGTGCACTGTGCTCATGCCGTTGAAATTCGTCACCGATTTAACGGAAAAAAAGTAAAAAAAGCGAGTCATTAGCATTTATAGGCAATAGGCTGCACGATGCAACAAGTCCATTGGTGCTAAAAAACTGCACCAGTAAATGTAAACTAACGTACGGTTCCCGTGCCTAATTTGTAACCATGCTATATGGGGATGACATACAAATCGATACATATCACACAGCAAAATCGCATAAACTGCGTGCTAAATCTTCCATTTAGGCAGATATGCATTCAGTGTCAACATCGCAACTTACTACCGATGCTACGACTTACCTTTTCTCTGGATGCGTGCACATGTGGATGATGCTGTTCATGTCGACGTACAGGCAGTCGAACTCTACATAGTTCGGATTTAGCTTGGTCGTGTCCACGGGGACCTCTTCACCATCAACAATGGTTGGCTGGAAATCGGTAAAAGAAAATAACGTCACGCGTGACTGTAATAAGCTGGATCGTAAAGTACTCATCAACCTGCCTACACGTGCAGTGAATGTCAACGTCCCCAAAATGACTTTCGTTTACTAGCAAACTGTTGCCGAATACCTGATAACCCAGCGTGGAAGTCCTTCTTCCCCACAAATCTCTCACCACAGACTCTCAACCATCGCCCATCTCGCCGCCCTAAGGGTTCTCGGGCGTGGCTCTCGGTGAAGCGATCGTGCCTCCATCAGTGAGATGATATACTCATCTTCATCATAGGCATGCAGAAGGAGGGGGGGAGGCTTATGGGGGGGGGGGGAGCCCAAGTATTCTAAGAGCGATTGGTGCAAAGTCAGCTTCACACATTCACATAACAGGGAGGGCAGAGCAGCGGCTCGGAGGAGGGGAGAGGGGTGTCGCAAAATCAGCGCCATACATAAACACAACAGGAAAGGGGGCCAAGCACTGCGACGAAGCCTCGCCCTCCCTGGAGGGAATCACGGAGCGCGCTCTATGCGCTCAAACCCTGAGACAGTGCACGTCAAGTCCGTGTAGTGCACGAGGGCCAGCACGACAGCTAGCCCCTACTACGGATTCCGGAACAATGACGCGTTTCCGATTCTCTCTTCCAATGAAGTTGTTTCCTCCTTCCTCACTAGTTTCTACGTCCATGCTTCCTACCACGGAAACAAGGTAGCAGTAGCTTTGTCATGATTTCGTGCCCCCGAAAGCAGTCAGCGGAAATCACCGTTAAGCTACACTCAGAAAGCGTCGCACTCGACCGCATTCGAGCGTGTTCCTTTGAAGTTCAGTCCACGCTAACTTAATGGGGAGAGAGGAATCGATCTTTTAATGATGAAAATTGAAAAGAAAAAGTGAGCCTCAGAACTGTCTGCAGCAAAGTGCGACACCTCCGCAGTAATTCACAAGAGAAGGAATAATAGGGGATGAAAAGATATATATAGGGAATTAAACATATTGAGAGAAAAGTAAAAGATTGGGAGACGGTTAGAGAAGTCTGCAGACGGAGCCTTGATTGGCAAGCGGTGGACGAAGAGAGGATATCACGGACGGGACAACCGTCAGCCACGAAATCCGCCGTGCGTCTCCTCTAACTTTACGCGCCCATTGTTTGCATGTTATGCTTGGCGTAGTTGCCGACCGACGCCAGCCACGATAAAGTAGCGCGGATTTTGTTTCAGCTAGTTTGTCACACGTACTCATGGAACATCTATAGGCGCGATGCAGACGCGGGCAAACACAGGAACCAATTGGTAATCGAAGCCACGCGGCCATAGTTCAAGCACTTGCAGAAGGCCCAGTCACTTTGAACTGGTGGCTGAATTCATGCGCGTGATCACCGTCGATCAAAAAGCAAATATTACGCATGCCTGAGGTGCGACATCAATACGTAAGTATTAGGTGGTGTGTTCCTTTACTAAAGAGCACCTAGGGGTGCGATGCAGGATGGCGCGAGCTTCTCGGCAGACGAGTTTGCTCCGAGCTTTCTCTGCAGTGGCCATGGCATGAAGACAGTGCGGAGCGCGTGATAGCAGCGTTGATAAAAGTGGCAAGCAAGAACAGGCAGTGGCGTTGGAAACATTGGTGACATTTGCGGCGTTTATCAAAGAAACACCGTGTGCGAACACGTCAGCGTGATTGCCGCGCTATCTTTTTGCCAACTCAACACGCGACCCCAAGGGCGTGTTCGCGGGAGTTTGTCCTCTTTCGGGCAGGTTCTTTTGTTCCTACTGCTGCATGGAAATTGCCGCTCTCGAAGGCAGCCAGGGTGCACACGCAGCACTCTTGAGCTGCTCGTTTCGCTCCTATCAAATATTGCAGATAAATAAAAGGACAGGTGACCACCAGGGGCGCTCGCATCATGGCGGCAACGCGGCTGTGATTGGCAATGTCGTGACCGCGGTGAAATAGAATGCGAAACATCGTAGCCGCGTGGTGATATCACTTTTACTTCTGCGTGCGTGTGTGCATATAGTCTGTGCGATAAAGCTGATGGATTGATCGCGCCGCTCGACGTACGTAGTGTTCCTCGGTACAAGCAAGCGTGGTGGACATACCCGACCTTTGCCGTGGGTGTCTGTCAAACAAACTGATTTACGCGTGAACTCGGATACAAACTCGTTGATTTTGAGCAGGCCCGAGTTAAACTAGTGACTGTGGTGGTGCCGGCGTGACTGTCAAGCGTTTGATGCAGTGAAAGCTGAGCGGAGGCTTCTTTGCATATAAAGTGATTTGGTGAACTTACACTACTTGTGCAAGGCTGGAGACATAGAGAAGCTCGCGATAACCAAGCTTCTTGCAGCTTTTAAAGACGATAGTCTTTCTTGGGGACCTTCGACGGAAAAAATTTTGGTCTGTCTGTCTGTCTGTCTGTCTGTCTGTCTGTCTGTCTGTCTGTCTGTCTGTCTGTCTGTCTGTCTGTTTGTCTGTCTGTCTGTCTGTACATTTGTGTGTTTGTCCGCCCTAACGATACCTTAAACGGCACCAAACGGCCAACCCCATCCGCAGCACTTACCAATACTGCTCAAGGTTTAGCGTTCATAGTTGTGCGATTGTCAATTAAAAAGCAATTATTGCGCATATCTGAGGCGCCACAACAACGTTTCGATGTTTTCTATGTCTGCCTTTATACTAGAAGAGGCACACACAACTTACAAGTAACTCCAAGGAATGTAGCGTTTAATCGCCCTGCGCTGACAGTGCAACGCGATGCTCAAAAAGGTGTTTCCAACGCTTTGCTTCGACGTCACGGTGGTGGAACCTGCCCTTTCGCTTTGAGTTCTACACCTATCACCTCCGAGACTGGCACGCATCTTTCTCCGCGGGCTGCACGCCTTCGTTTTCGAAGATAACTAACTGCCAGATGACACTTGTGTCTAACGTGCCTAGATGCGCTCGTTCGCCTTCGCCACACGCTCGAGGCACTCTAACGCAGCGCCTGCAGAATACCATTCACCGATTTTCTTGCGCAGAACATCAAACGTTTTGTTCACTCTCTCCAGACGCAAGACTATCGTCTTTCGACGACATTTACAGCGTAACATGTAGATTCGGGCCAATTTTTAAAGTTGTTCATCTACTCATGTGCGTGCTCAGCTTCGAAGTGAAGACCACATCAGTTCTGTCTTAATTTTGATTGTACTAATTGATTGAGGCTTAACGAACATTACATTGAGTTGTATTGTCCTCATAGATAAGGCTTCAATTAAAAGGCCATCATCTCGGGCGCAATTGGCAATGCCATGATCAGTATGGAGCTATTAAACGTAATCATGGTTAGCAGGATACTAATGGTCGTAATATCAGTAAGGGCTAATTAAATTAGCATCGGTTTTAATTAGCGTGCTCATGATTAAGGTCGCGTTAATTGGCGTAGTTAGTTAGCTCATCAAATAGCATGCATTAGTTAGCCCGGTTCTAGCTTTAGATGGCTTCATCAGCATGGTATTCTTAAGACGTGGCGCAATTACCTGGGCCTTACCCTGACTTGGCATAATTAGCTTGGTCATAGCATGTCCTGGCCTAACTAGCGAAGAATATACCGTTCAGCCAAATATCTAATTAGCCGGCTGCACGTGCTCGAGGGCTAGCAGGTGACGACAACAAAGACGACGCGCACCGGCCGAGCAGAGCGCTTGAATGTACACGCTGACACGTGGTCTCACTGGAATGTACAGACCAACACGTGGCCTCGGATTGAGCTGCGGTCGCGATGTTGTAAGACGCTCGGCCAGTATTGATCTCAGAGGCACCGTGCTGATTATTCTAAAGCAGACTTAGTGAAAGCAATAAAAGTTTCAAAATAAATTTAAACACCCCTGCCTCTAAAAAAATATCACCACGAAAAGTTTGACTATTTTATTGTATGGTTGCACTTCTGCACTCAGTGGAATGACAAATAAATGAAAGTAGATGCCTCTGGTTTGAAAACACCGCCCAACTTAGTCGACCGTCCTTGACGCGATGACTGGTTCCATCGTAACCAATGAAACGTAGCGTGCTGAGGGGTGGATTTGACTTTTTCGTCCTGCTGGCCCGTTCATAAGGGGGTGTAGCCAGAGCTCTGGAATATCTCGAGTGTCGCGAAACTTGGCTGATCCTGCATAGAGCCCTAAATACGTAATTCTAGAGACCTTATATGTTTTCAGGCTGCGCTGAAAGAGCGACGCTATGCATGAAAAAGCCCTCTGCCGACAATATGGCGCTGTCTACTTCGGCAGGTGCCTACTTCGGCGCACTGGTAGTACACGCGTACAGCTATTGAGCCTTCCACACAGGAAAATACATTCATGTACGTCTCACAAATGATTCTTCTTTGCAAACTATCATTCTATACTCTCAAGACCAAAACATTGTTGACGTGTCGAGGAGGTACGAACACACGGCACGCCAGCAGTGGTAATTGCGGTAAAATGAAATCTGATCAAACAAACCGTCATTGCTTTAATCATGCCAGGGCGTAAATGGTTCGAGAACCGCATTACGGGTGGCCGCAGATAAGACCTGGACTCGCGTAGTACGGCCGGCCGAAGACTATTGTCTCTTTATGACATTGCCGATGCACGCATGCAGACACGCGGTAAATATTTTTTAAATGCTGCATTTTTCTCTGCGTGTTTGTCTGTTGTTTTCTGCGATATTCTTTACTATCATGATCAACCAACTTGCCCGAATCACCATTCTTGTAACGTTTACATGTGTTCTTAGAAAGATTTTCGCTTGCCATTTATGTTGAGAAAGCAAAATGAAAAATAGAAATGAAAATGTTTACCTTCTCTTCGACGCAGTGGACGACAATGCACGGGTATTTTTTGCTGATCCAGGAAAAGAAACCTGGAATTCCCATCTGCACAACATGTACAGGCCAAATAAAACATCCTTAGCCCAGCTTTACGTAACGGAAAGGACTGACGCAATATTCGTATGAATGTTACGCGAAACTTTTACACCATCAAACTCAAAGCGACATTCAAAAGGTTGCCAGCTTGCTACCTGTCATTGTATGGCTTAACGCAAGCAATGATGAGTAATGTACTTGGGAAACAATGGTGAGTGATGCTGTAGGGAAACCAATGCGTTATTTAAATTAAAAACAGCATTTATGATCTTTCAGTGTCCTACAAGAAGGATCCAGAGATGGCACGATCAGCGCGTGCAGCGTAAGTGTGGTGTCATGCGCAAGCCGCACGCTCCATGTACATTTTATTCCTCCTCCTCTATGAACTACGGGCTCACTAAGTATCAAGTGTCGTCTGACCATTCTGCTCGTGGGCCGTTTTCCCGCCTCTGAACTCTCTACGCTACATTCGTATACCTCCATGTAGCCACAACAATTTGTGGGACCCAACGCTTATTGAACTGTGTGCGATGGCAGCAGTGACGTAAGTGGCATTTATATTAAGTAGCTTACGTCAGACCAGAGGTATAGCCAAAGGGAGTTCAGCCCCCCTCTCCGAATTTGCTTACGTATATATCCACGCACACATACAAACGCGCACAGATATACATAAAGCATGATTGACCCCCAATCCCGAAAAATAATTAACGGCATATCCACGGAGTGAATGATGATTAGTGGGGTGAAACGTCTGTCTGTCTGTCTGTCTGTCCCTCCGTCCGTCCGTCCGTTCGTATGTATGTATGTATGTATGTATGTATGTATGTATGTATGTATGTATGTATGTATGTATGTATGTATGTATGTATGTATGTATGTATGTATGTATGTATGTATGTATGTATGTACGTATGTACGTATGTATGTATGTATGTATGTATGTATGTCCCTACGTCTGCTCCTGTATCACACCAGAGCACGCATCGGACGAACGGACGGATGGATGCTTTGACCCATTCATCATCATTCACGTCGTGGATATGCTGTGAATTTCTTATTGTAAGGGAGCCATCTATCCTCTTTAATCGTCAAGTATATGAAAACCACTCACGCCATCTAGTGATAAAATTTCCAAGGACATATATACGCAACACCATCTATTGAGCAATTCATGAACTAGAAGTGGATACATATATACTACACACAAACGGAGGAGGGACCAACCCACCTAAGGAGCTACGCCCCTAAACACATTCTGGTTGGGCTCCGGGGTGGCGCAGTGGTTAACGCCTCGCTTTCACATTCTGATTACGCCAATGCGTCAAAGTTAGCACCACCATAAAGCCATGTTCCCACTACGTGCGCTACGTAAAGATCCTCGGTAAGGATCGTAAGCGTAAACGCAATCAACTCAATGAGCTTGTTTAGAAATTGTAATACTTAGCGTAAAGAACGTAATCTGAGAAACGTAAATGTTACCGGGCCCGCGACTCCTGCAACAAATATTGATGCAACGATTACGTAAGACCAAAACAGTTTCGGTTTCCACTTTCCGTTGGGGCTTCCGGCTTCGCCAGATTCCACGTCTTCATGTGCGTCTTGAAAACTATGCAGTAGCGTGTGTGTGCAGTTGGTTTGCCGGTCTAGAGGGCAGACGCTACGCCTCAAGAGTATCACGCCCCATTCTCTCCCTTGGTTTCCCGCTCACCTGGGGTCGATTGTGGGCTCTACCTCCAACTCGAACGAGGGCGCACACGAGGCCGCGCGAGGACTCACTGACCGCGCCGCCTCCACAGTCCCTCTGCCTCGCTGGGAACCCTTACTTACGTTCAACGAAATAACAAAGCACTTCTATCTGTCATGAAGGGTATTCCCTCTCCCACACCCGGCCTTGTGCAGGGCGCAGGCAGTCACCCTCAGACTATTGCAAGCCAGTGCGTATCCTAACCCTGCGGTTCTTCATGCCATCTACCCCGAACGGTATCCAAGTGCGGATTGCCCCGCTTGTGGACTGTTAGCCACATTCAATCGTGTGTTGTGGGAATGTGAAGCCATCGGCCCCGCCCTCAGCGAGGACAGGTGGGCTGCGCTCTTACGCAGCCCCGAACTTAAGGATCAAACCCTGGCCGTCCAGAGTGCCCGTAAACGGGCCGCCAAGCTCGGCTTGACGGTCCCAACGTCGGATTAGCCGGGTGGCGCGGGGTTTCCCCTGCGTCTTCTCAGGACCAAAATAAAGTTTTAATCAATCAATCAATCAGACGCTACGCCCGTTAAAATGAGAGCGCTCGTCGCGTCTTCCCTCCATCCCAACGAGCCCAGCCAACGCGAACATTGCTTGGCGCAGCTGATGAGAAGCAGCTTCTTATTTAGAGTATAGGACGGCATTCAGCTCTCCCATAGTAGAGTACCAAGTACTCTAACTCATTAACAACTTTTTTCTAAACACAGGCGGCAACATTTGAACCGAGGACGCAACGCACATTCAGAGTGGTGATTGACGCGTACATACGTGATCGCTAGCAACGGACGATACAGCTCTTACGCGATACTACACTAACGACAGACGCGGCGGCACTCTGAACGCGGCTTAACGTAGCTACTGGGCTAACCTAACAACATGGTTAAAAGGGGCGAAACTCCTTATAATGGCACCTGTTCATCCCTCGTAGCCCTTGTAGTATGTAACAAGTATAACATTTTAACCTTCAAGGTGGTGCCGGTGAGAGATTTCTTCTCTGCGTTGTTGAACAATAAAAAATAATGCTCAATGTACATGCCAATGACTGCTAATGGGGAATGAGAGACGGGAGCATTCGGCTTTTAGTAAAGCTCACGCTGCGATCCCCATTAGCAGCCATTGGCATGTACATTGAGCACTACAGACAAGAAATGTTTGCTACGTTATACTCGCTGGGTGTAACCTCCTTAGTTTTAGAAAGGTTTAGCGAGCGTTGAGCCGCGGTGCCATGAATACAATGAACTAGTATATACCATGAATGAACTCGAGGTGGTTAAAAGTGGGAAGTACATACGAAGCGCAAGTCGTAAGAAAGTAAAAGCCGAATTCTCCTGTCTCTCATTTCCTATTAGTAGCCATTGGCATGTACATTGAGCACTATCTGACAGGAAAATGTTGCTACGTTAGACTCGCAGGGCGCAACCTCCTTGGTTTTAGAAATGTTTAGCGAGCGTTGGGCCGCAGTCCCCTGAATACAGTGAACTAGTATATACCATGAACTCGAGGTGGTTAAAGGTGGGACGTAGACCCCCAGCGCAAGCCGTAAGAAAGTGTGCGCGTGCCACCTCTCGTTTAGTCCTTGGAATGTCCGCTCGATGGTGGTGCTTCTATATGCGGAATATATGATGAAAAGATGCGAGATGCATGGTGGTACTTGGAGTGTTGAATAGATGGACGAATGGACACACAGACAGATGCATGGATGGACGCATGAACGGACGCAGAGGCGGATGCATGGACGAACGCAGGGACGGACGCACGAACAGACGCACACACGGACGGATGGATGGACACATGGACGGTCACACAGACGGACGCATGGACGGATGGAAGCAAGAACGAATGGACGGACGAATGCTTCACCCCACTCTCCATCATTCACTTCCGTGGATATGCTGCCAATTTTTTTTAATGCGAAGCATTTCTTAGCGAACTTCGGCGACTTTGGGCGTATCTATCTATCTATCTATCTATCTATCTATCTATCTATCTATCTATCTATCTATCTATCTATCTATCTATCTATCTATCTATCTATCTATCTATCTATCTATCTATCTATCTATCTATCTATCTATCTATCTATCTATCTATCTATCTATCTATCTATCTATCTATCTATCTATCTATCTATCTATCTATCTATCTATCTATCTATCTATCTATCTATCTAGCCGCCTACGACTTTTAGCTCTCCTGGCCGTTTCGATAACGGTATCGATGCCAAATTTGGCATGGCAGAACATGACTGTATTGCCACGTTCCATTTCCCAAGTTTTTGTCATCGTCCCAAAACACCACACGATTCTCAGCGCAAACCGCGCCTGCAGTTTTCGAGAAGGTTCCGGACTGTAGTAGATCATTTCGATATGATTGCGCTCACTGTGCGAACGGTACAGATTGTTCTGGAACCTACGCCACCGCCAGCGATAACGCTAGAACATTCGACGGCAAGGGTATAAATGCCGACGCGCTTCGCCGCTTGTCAGTTGCTGATCGAAGGCCGACGCTCCGTTCGCCGCTATCAGTCCGAGACTGCTATCTGTGCGAGACTGCTGCTGTAATTGGACTTTCCTTTTACCGGGCACATGTTCGCCCAAATAAACAGTTAAATCCCAACACGAAGTCTCCTGTCTTCGGCCACGTCACGACCCCGTGACAGTATGAAGAACATATCTGACATGTCATGGCATGAAAATCCTGACATGTATGTCGTGAATGTCATGATTAACATTGCACGGTCCTGCAGCTCTTGCGGTGGTTTTGTTCACATGGCATGGTGCGAAACTGGTATGGTATGACATTATTGCATGGCGAACACAAGCGACACACCTTAACATGAAAATCTTGACATGCGTGTCATGTCACAACATGACTACATGCCACGCTCATGATGCGCTTGCGGCCGTTTCGCTAGCGTCATATATATTAAATTTGGTATTATGTTGCGTGAATGGGTGACGAAAGTATGTGACTGGTGCGAACATGATAATCATTAGATGCGTGTCATGTAACAACATGACTACATGCCACGCTCATGATGCGTTGGCGGCCGTTTTGCTAGCTTCACTTATACCAAATTCGGTATTACGGGACGTGAATGGATGACGAAGCTATGATACTGGTGCAAACATTATAAACATGAGACGCGTGTCATGTAACAACATGACTACATGATACGCTCATGATGCGCTCGCGGCCGTTTCGCTAGCTTCCCATGTACAAACTCGGGTATCACTCGACGCGAATGGACGACATAGGTAAATGGTAC